CAGTGATGGAGGAAAATAATGAAACAAAACAGAAGAAAAATTTAAAAACTACCTCTTATCATCAGTTGTAGACCAGCCCTCTACTGGGATAGATAAGATGGTGCTGCTCACACTGTAATCACTTTAGCACCTTGCCCAAAGTAGTAGGAATAGATCTGTCAGATAAGGCATGCACTGTGAAGATGTTCTCTGCTAGAAAGCCTACAGTATCTGGTACATCAGAGTTGAAATCCTGGATTAGAGTTTTTGGTGACTATAGTAAAAATATTATAAATAAGTCCTAGAATAACAACTATTGAGTGAAAAATTATACCAAAATGGTTGCTGTTAATTTTAAAATATCTATAAATCGTCCAAAAGCTACATTTTATTTTCCTCACCAGTGCTTCTCACTTATTTAAATTTTCCTAGTCAAGTCCAGAATCCCTTATGTTTTACAAACATTCTAGTCATCATGAGAATTTCTTAACTGTTCGCAGAAAGTCATTGTTGAAATCACATGGATGAATAAGAAGAAAATGAGTCTAACTTACGCAGTGAGAAGAACACTGCAAGTTAGAAGTATTCCGGAGTCACTCTGAGAAAACAATTTTGAAAAATCCTACAAATCATCGATCCTAACTGTATTCATGACAAACACATGTAAGAACATTAAAAATATATACTTCAAAATATATTAGGTGTAGAGAGACTTACTTTCTGTGATTCTGTGGAAATTGGCATGTAAGTCCAATGGCTTACATCAGTAAGATGAAAATTTTTTAATGAGACTTAAAGAAATACTCTAATGTATGAGGATCTGTATCTATTTCTACATTCATTTACTTTACAATACAGCTACTGCTGTTTTCTTTTATCCATGCAATGTCCTAAGCCATGAAAAGCAATCAAGCAAACCTCTTGCTTGCCTTTTCCTTACTATGAAGCCCTTTGTTTCTACTGACCCCCATAACCATGAGTTCAAGAATATTTCTGCTAAATGTATATAATCTTATCAAACATTTATTTCTTTATCAGTTCATGACCTGGTAGCCCTTCAGCTGTTTTGCTGACTTGATGGTCTCGTTATTGCAAATGGCAAATAGAAGCGCCAGCTTAACTCCTGTTTTTTTTTTCGTTCTCCTGTTTTATTCACATCCCTATCATTGTTTGCCTAAATTAGTGCTATCTTTTGATATGGCTTTGCATATTAGCAGTTTTCAATATTTTTGCTCTTAAGCTATGTGTTTTTACAGAATGAATAACCTGACTAGAGTAACATAGCGAGATGTTTTGTGTAATGATTTGATACTGTGTTAGTATATTTTCAATTCCATTCCCTTTTACAACTTGACATTTCATTTCTTACTTGCTGGCTCTGCACATCAGGAGATGCTTTTCAGGGAATTGTTTCATGGTCCTTTTCTCAGAAAGAGTTCAAATTTCTCATGATAACTTACACTGCCTTCTTCATTTGTCTCTTCTAAGCCTCCGCGTTAAACGTACTCATTGGAACGCATGGCAGGAATCACCACAAAGACACGTACTTGAGCAGATACTCTCATGTAGCACAGTGAAAGCTCCATGTAGAGCTATCAGTTTACACACAAACCTTTTGTGCTAATGGCACAGATTGAACTAAGAAAGCTCAGCTGTTCCACTGCTCTGATACTGCTGTGCAGCTTTGAACGCCAGAGCAAGCTAAGTCAGAAGCAGACTGGATTTTCTGGATCATTCTTCAGCACACAACGTGGCCATACATGGTCTTACTAGGGACTTGGCTGTCCTAAATTGCTTTATGTCATCTGCAAATATAGTCTTTTATGGTGTTTTTTTTCTTCCATATTTCCTCTTCCAGAAAGAGGAAAAATTTTTTAAACTCCGTGGATTTCCACACAGCCACAGGGAGAACTTTGCTTCTGTTAAAACGTGCCATTTATCCAAAAGACTTTTTCTGTCTCTTAGATGCACAGAATCTGATAATGCTTCCCCTCCAACAACACTTGTTTACTTTAGTAGTTTCTACTACATAGAAACACAGCTAAAGACTTTTTTTGACAGTTCAAATATGTTGTATTGATTAACTCTCACCCACTCTGTCAAAATTCTAATAGATTGACAATCTTTCTGCGCTGTTTTCTTGGACAAATGCCAGTTACCTTATTTCTAAAACTCTCTGGTCACAATTTTATGCCTTATGCTAAAGTTTCTACCTGGCCTCAAATTTACAAAATTTTCTACTACTTTTTTTTTTTTTAAATGATAAACAGAACTTCTGACTTTCTATGGTCACTTGCTTTTGTTAAGAACTGAAAATAAAGAACAGCTAATCCCATCTTCTTCCTATTTATTTTAGCCAATTTTTCAACAGCGTCCTCTTCTATGAAGCAATCTTGCACATTTATTTCACAAGGTTACCTGAGATGGGTAGCTTCTTATAAAAATACCTTTCTTTCTTTCTCCCTTCCTCCATCCCACCTTCCTCCTATAAAGAGTAATTCAAAGAAACTGCTTAGCCCCTCTGCAATGTTCTTCTTACTAAATGCAGATTGGGATGTCCTCCAGTTTTCTCTTACACTTCTTACACTTGACTTTTTAAAAATTGTCTCTGTTTATTTGCATTCCTTTGGGTGTTTGCTCCAAAGAGTCACTCAACTTTCTTATTTTCTGGCCTGAAGCTTACCTACTAGAATAGCTCCCTTTTTCTGACCATTTCACTTGACACTGTTTTTTGTTTTTGTTTTTGTTTCAGTTTCAGTTTAAATAGCTTTTGTATCCTTTAATACACTTTTTCTTCTTTGCTACTGTTTCCTTTTTCATATAGACATTTTCTTACATGCTCTAACTTTTTATACAGCAATTTTGCTGAATATGAGAATTCTGTTTCACACACTTTAATCATTTCTTTTTAAAAAAATTGTCCAACTGACAAACTGTTTTTGATACCATCTTCTTTGCTAAGAGACTAAATTCAAATTTTATTACAGTTGCAATTACTCAGTGGCTCAACTACAATTCCTTCCGGAATCAACTTCCCCTTACACATTCCTCTTGCCTTATTCACTGAACACAGTATTATAACTGACTTACTCAATCACTGATACAACTGTTGGGCTCATTTTATTTTCTTTGCTCCTGTTATTTAATATACAATTTTAACCAAAAATTTTAGTAAAGAAAATATTCAGTAGGAGAAAATAAAACAAAGAAGTATTACATGGTTTTCTGACAGTGTCTGGATTGAGGGCCAAAGAAGAAAAGCAATATTAAATCTGGATTCTCAGATGTATATTATTTTGTATCATTCATTTACATTGTTTACCTCCAACATTTTACCCCTATTTTTTTATGCCCCTCTATCAGATAAAGGTAAAACATGAACCAAGGTCTATATATTATACATGCTCAATCAAACTAGTTCTGTTGGCTGAACAAAATTTGAAATTCCTAAACTATGAATTAAATATATATACATTGCTATTCCTTGATGTCACTGGATATATCACTATAACACACACATTGCATCAGAATTGTTGTTGCTGTAAAATCTGAGTGTTTAAACTGCAGCAATAGATATGTTAGTAGTACTGCTAAATTACAGTTCAGTTCTGAAGAGTATTTCTTAGATTAAGTGGTAGAAGACCATCTAGGCAAAGTCAGAGACATGAGTCATTACGTCATAGCACAGTGAAACTTTACATTGGTCTTTAGTGTAGGACCAAATGACTGACACTTGAGTGATTGAAATACCCACACAGCTAATTAAAAAGAAATAACTGAGTTGCTGGAGAAGGATCTGTAGCAAAGATCCTTCATACTCTAAAACTGCCAGTGCAGCACCTTTAAGAAAAACTAAATGCTTTAGGAAAAATAAATATCATTCAGTGAGATATTTTTTTCCAGATCTACAGTCCTAGAAGACTTCTATTGCCTTGTTAGTATTGTAATGTTAATGTCTTTGGCTTGTTTGGATGAGATAAACATCATAAACTCTTGAAGGCAAGGAGATTACAGTCTTTGATAAAATATAGAGGGCTACTGAATAGAATGAAAAGACTTACTAAACCAGTGTATTGCTCAAGAGTTCTACATCTAGCTCAGATTCCAAATGAATTACGAATGTCTTTCTGAGATCTATCGCGCTCCTTCATGTCAGCAAATCACAGTCAAAAGTTGACTGAAGAGGTAACATTTTGGAACAAGACAAAGCATGGAAGAACTCTGGCAAACACCAATATCATGTCGGTTGAAAGATGATCAGAAGGAAGGCAAAATTTTTTTCTTCTTCCTTCCAAACCCTTACTTCCAAACTATGTAAATCATAGAATGGCATACGTTGGAAGGGACTTTAAAGACTATCTAGTCCCAACTCCTCTGCTATGGGCTGGGTTGTCAGCTATTAGATCAGAGTCCTATCCAGCCTGGCTTTGAACACTTCCCGTGCCTCTGAGTAAAGAATTTCTGCCTAATATCTTACCTATATTTCCCCTCTGAGTTTAAAGGTACTCCGCCTTATCAATATCAGATCATGTAGAAAGTCTTCTGCTTATAAGCTCCCTTCATGTGCTGGAACAGTTACTTTAAAATAATTCTGAGGACACTGCTCAAAAATAAAGAGAAGTTCCTGGGACAGTTGAAAAAAGAAGTAAACAGAAAAACCACCCTTCACTTGACTTAAATTTCTTCTTTGAAAATGTCACCCTGGCAATATCTATATGCAAAAAATCTAATCATGAAGTAATTCAGGATCCAAAAACAAATTTGAGCAACTGATCCCTGACTGATCAGTTGATGCTTTTGATGTTGACAATTATGTCATACTAACAAGAATCAAGGTTTTGTTTTTTTAAAAAAAACATTGAACAACACCTTCTTCAGTGGTGCCTCAGTCCAAGAGAAGCCACTTTCCCCTACTGTTTCTAAGATTGCATTTGTATTATTTTTACAATGAATAGGAGAAAGAGCTAATTTTTATTCCCTCAAAGGGAACACTTTCATACAGCCTTTTGAATAGTACTTACTCAAATATGGTGGTTTGTAAGGCGCTCGTGTATTAGACAGCAGTCCATCCAACTCCTTCCTCTCCAGAGTGTTGTGAAGAGACTTCTCTTTGCCGAAGGTGGAGAAGGACCTTTCTGCCCCCGGCTGGGCTTCTGGTGTTTCAAACACTTCAGTGTCTGGAACGGAGTCCATGCCAGGTACATGCAGATTGCTGCGGTAATCTGCAGCTTGGCGTCCGTCAGATGGGACAAAGGAAGGCATCCAGCACCGATCTGAGTGGCCCAGTGCTTTACATTCCTCTGTGCAATTGGAGAAGAGATCCATGCCTGAAAGCATGAGAGAAAATGAAACTACAGATATAAGCCTCAGCATCATGAATTGACAGCTGACAGATTAAAAAAACAAATTACGCTGAGAGAAAAAGAGATCTTATTAGAACTTCTTCTACTACCTTCATCTCAAAAAATGAAATAAAAAGAAACTTGAACGTCCAGTCTTCAGCATTTAACACTTTTTAATAAGCATAAATAAATGCTAGAATGTCACACATACACATATGTGTCACGAGAAGAAAGGATCTATCTCACAAAATAACTTGTAGATCTTTCTGTTTAGAACTCATTTCGTTGAAGATCAGTTCTACTTGCAGACAATATCTGTGCTTCACCCGTCATAAATACTTGTTTAACAACAAGCATTTAAGAGCAATTGAAGGAATTGTTTGTGTACATAAACCTATCCCTGACCAAAGAAATTATATGACCTGATTGAGTAATCACAGATCTCAATTATGAAAATGAAGTATTAGTCTTATAAATTAATTATCTGTAAATATATGCATACAGATAGAGCCTATTGTTATTAAAAGCAGATCTTAGAGAGTTGGAGTCCAGCCTGTAAGCAGTCGAGATGGCTTACTAAATCAATCACTATGAGTTTTCACTGCTACAGCAACAGTTCTTACTATCTTGTCATTCAAGTAAAGGGATGGAATCCTATGTTAAATTAGCAGTACCTTAATTAGCAGTCTGAAGGTAGCTGTAGTGCAGTGCAACACAGCCATGGATACTACTGACAGAACAGACAGTTAGTGCTTCCCTTCAGCAAACACCTATCCCTGCCAACATAAAACTGTTTGCTTATAAATGCTTTAATGCCATTAAAATTTCATATGACAAGCAAATGCTTCCATTGACTACTGTAAGACGAGCAGTCCAAAAGAATATTTCCTGACAGTGATTCACTAAGCTGTTGGATTGTACTTGTTTTGAAAGGAATAGTGTAGGAAATCATAGGCATAAAGTAAAACAAATATTAAGGTGTCCAAGTCATTGTTCAACATCACACAGAAAAGCAAAACAGTGAAGAAATGTCTCTTTCTTGAACTTAGAAAGATATGTCTTAGAATGGGAATATGTCAAGACTGAACTAAATCTGTTATAAGTATTGCATTTACAAGCATTTCATTAGAATTACAAAAAAAAAAAAAGACTCAACTTGCACGAGAAATAGAAAAAAAATAGAAAAGCTTTAATAAGATTCGTGCACTGTAGGTCGTTCACCAGCATACACCACAAAGAACTTGATTAGTTTGATCTCCCTTGTGAGGATTAGGGTATTAAGAATGCTATCACTGTTTTAAACTGTTGATTTGTTTTCTATTCATAATATTATTGTGTTATCTTGCAGTAAAGGAAACAAACTCTTCAGCAAGCAAGACCCCTTTTCAGCCACCAACAAGCGCTTGAGAAATAAAATCTGTCTTCTAGACAGACTAAAGAAAAAAGAAAGAAGGGGAAAAAAAGCTTTTTACTTCAGATTAATCTCAGTGCATCAACTTATTAATTTTAAATTAAGTGAAATACAATGTCAGGTCCTGTTTTGATTAGCAACTTGCATTGATAATTGGCAAGCAGAAATAAATTACTGATCAGTGAACTGCTGAAGAATGTAAACTTGAACTGCAGGTATGATTAAACAATCAGATGAAGATCATTATACAAGATGTAGAAACTGTATCATTCTACATTCTGTAATGGTAGTAGCTATCAAAGACTGAAAAGATGCACACTTCCTGGGGAGAAATGTTTAAATAACCATATCTCTAAAAGTGTGTATGTGTTCACATGTATCTTATGAACAGAAGTATTTGATTAAAAATCTTTCTCATGCAAGAAAAGACATACTTTAAAAAACAGCAAACTTTTTTGCTGTTCAGAACATTTTAGCGACAACACTAAAATGAGTCTTCTCTTTTTTTCAGGCTATCTAGCAGTTCCACATGCACTAGAAATAGCCCTGGATCTAAAAGAGAATTGATTACAATTACATTTTGCTAACAATACATCACTGACCATACCCATTCTGAAAGAGCAGGGGAAATACAGAAAAAAAGAAAGAATGAATGTTAAATTACTTGCTTATGTCAGTGGGGAGGGAGATATTATGATAATATTGCCTTCAAGATAGATAGATATTCAAGGATAGACACTTTTTTTTCCTCTTCTTGAGGTTTTACTTCTCCTGGAAAATTAGCCTTCTTTTCACTATTTTGTTTTCATGTCAGTTGCTAAATGGCAAAAATCCTCTACCCAAATGTTACTTTTTAGTTTGCTTTTGAACACTGCTTGTCTATGACAGTGCACAGCATAGTATTACATAACAGCTTATAAAAGAGATGTTATAACCTCCATAAATCAGGATTTTGAATAAACGATGTAATGAATGTAGGGGATATAAAAATGTAAGCTCAAAGTTTCCCTCTGCTAAAGCAAATGAGAACTTCTTTTAAAAGAAAATATACGTATAATCTCCCCTCCAACCCCCAGATTTCAATATCCACTAATACATACCTAGAAAGTAAAAATTTGATAACAAATGTTCAAGGATGACTGGGTTGAATATTGCTCTTCCTTGAATCAGTCACAACATTCCCTAAGAGGTTAATGGGTGCAGAACTAAGCAGTTAGTTTTAATATTTTGAATGAAAATAAATTCAAAATATCAGGCTGATTCTGAAATCCCTGGGCACCTACGTTTATTTTCACTGAACTAGGATATAAGTTATTCTTCCTCCACCTTCTTCCTGTGGGTCACAGTATAGAATTTTTTTATTTTTTTTTTAATTAAAAAACATTTCTAATAGGGTGGATGATGAGAGGGGAGGAAAAGCCGCTTGCTAAATTTGTAGAAGGAAGAATATAAAGTGGTAAATTAATAAGACATACAGCACAGAACTCCCTTATAAACCAAGAATCATATTTTTGATTCATAACAAAAAGGAATGTTCAGCAGTGTAATACTTCCATCTCATCTTTCTCATAAATCTGCTTACATATACATAGTATGCATTGAACTATTTTAAAATCCACATTAAAGAAAAATGCTTTATATTTTTCACTTAGTTACATTAGACGTTGCATGCAGATAAACTGAGATTTTAAAGGTGACTCTGCATTATGAATTTTAAATGTCCTTTGAAGATAAAAATAGATAGTATAGAGTACTGAAGAGCTGAGAACTGATAAGCTTTGAGCTATTCCAAATACAGCATACATACACATAAAAGCTCGTGGCAAAGGTGAATATTTATCTAGATAGGCAGCGGGCAATACGAGCTTCTGCATAACATAACTTTGCAGATTTTGAAGCCAAACAAGCCTCTGCCCTTCCCTCAAGGAAAACTAAAAAGAAAGAAAGGAGTTAAATACTAAGATTTATATCTGCATCTGAATTTCCTGAGCTCAGGTGCTTTGAATCCGATACTTGGCAGGGTTGCTTTTCTAAAGCATATTCCCAATTTGCTTCCTTTTCATATTTCTAAAGAAGAAAAGCAAAAATTCTGTGCATGAATTCTAATTGATTTGAAAGATGATTTAAGATCAAAGTGAAAAGTAAGCCTACAACCATTTTTAAATAATTTATTTTTTCTTAATTTAAATAAAGGAGAAAAGCCATATACTGAGCCTTTAGAGTAATGAGTGAACACATTCATATATACATTACTGAGTAACTGATAAATTCAAAAGAAAAAAAAAAGAAAAAATGTAAATTAAATGTTGACAAAATGTTTTTGTAGTTTTGTTATTGAGAGACTTTTCACAAAGTTTGTCTTTTTTTTCCGCCCCTCATAAATTTGTCTTTTCTGCAAAACTAAATACATTTGTTGCTTCTTCAGTTTTTTAAACATTATTTGGGAGGTAGGTGTGATATAGGGAAACTCTTCTTTTTGAAACTCCATTAGCAGATCAGATGCCTGTTTGGTTGGATTATCCCTGAGCAAGTTAGTAATTTATCTGTGAGTCATGTTTTCATGTCTGTAAATAAGGATAATTATTTTAACCTTCTTTGTGGAAGACTCTCTCCACTGAAGAAGCTGACTTCATGAAACACAGTTATTATCATTCTTACTTGATAAGTAATTGGTGTGCTGCCTTGGATAAAGATGACTTCATCTGCATGAGAACATGAAAAAAAGACTTAAAGATCTTCGATATTCAGCTCTTCTAAATCTCAACTTCAAAGCCCTGTCTGAACCATTGAGATGTGAACATTACTAAGCATGAAACACGAAGAAAGCAGAAGAAAAAAAAGAAACAAAACAAAACAAAACAAAAACCCTCACCTCAGTTCAAGTCAAAGTACTTTTCTAAGCCATCTTAATGTTTAATGTTTAACTCTCACTTTATCCAAGACAGACTGTTAGCCCAAGTGATCTTCAAAACAGGATTTACCTGTCACTCTGAACAGACTTCGAAGGAATGCTGGTTTTTTCTGTCCTTTTACTACCAAAATTCTCATTTAGACTTCTCAAGTTCTTGTTTCCATGAAAAATGAAATACCATAGCTATTCTACATCCTAGCAGTAATGCCTACTAACCCTCTCGAGGTTTACTAAGTCTAGACAGAAAAGGTGTGAGCTAAAGTTTCACTCTGTGTCCTTGCATTAGACCCCTAAAAATTCTCTTCATAAAGTTCAATAACAGAGATCTGATTTCAGATCTCAGGCAATCACCAATGCATACTGCCCAGAGCAGTACTATCTACTGAGTAGATGGTTAAAAAAAAAAAAAAAAAAAGTTGATGCATTTCCTAATACATAACGTACAGAATCTATACTTAGCTTCTCATCTTGGATATTCCTTCCTGAAGTATACCTCAGAGATCATGCCTATTCAGTGAAAATAAGGAAATGAAGGTAATACTGTAAAGAACTCAGTGTGTCTGATGTGAGAAAGCTGAGTAGCTACTGACCAACCAAACGAAATAAATTGATGGCAAAAGTCCAGATCTTACAGGACAGGTGTCTAATCACACAATTTAAACATACACACACAGAGAGTACTAATTGGCACCCAAGTCGGCAATTTCACATGGGAGGCCAAGAATTTAATCAACCATGGGAAATAAACTAACCTCAAGCTTAGAAATGACTCCTACAGAACACGATTGAAATACTGTGTGTTAATAATAGGTAGCAGTGTTGCATTAGTTGCATTTGTTCCACAACAAAATAACTGCTTTTGTCTCAACAATTTTCAGGTAGAAAAGAAGAGCACAAGTAATTAGCACACTCATTTGGAGTTAGAGAAACCTTTACTCCAGTAGCCAAAACTTGTTGCATGACCCTAGGAAAGCCATTTTTTTTCCCCCCAGCAAGCTCAGATTCTTACCCTACCTAAATGAAATGATTATTCAAACCAGAAAAATTAGGTTCTTGACCATTTTTTAATATCCCATTACATGGCATTCTCTGCTAAACACAGACGACAGTCCTTTCCTAGTTCATGGATATGAAGGTAGCTGAGAATGTAGATAGTATTAATGCATTCAAGTGCTACCTTGATGGGAACAGTATGAATCCCTTACAAGCATTCAGAACATTTTAAATCATGATTAAATCACTATCAAGAAAACATACTCTGCCAAAAGGTGACCTAGAATCTTATTTCAAAACATAATAGGGCATTTTATGACACAGAGATCAGCTTAGTGCAGAATTTCTGTCAATAATTTTGTAAGAGTCATCTATGACACTGTGATAGATTTCCATCCTGCATGTTTACCTTCCCAGCTAATAATTCATCATGCTTTTGACAGTCAGCTTGCCTAGCAATGACTACTATGGAATAGCTACGTGTATGCCACAGGACTGTCCGTTGGTAACAATAACAGAAGTAGTGCACAGGAGATGAAAAGTTTGTTTTGAGATTAAAACATTGCTGAATAAAAATTGGTAGGAAGTTATATTGTTTGATGGGTCTTGCCAACTAAACATTTTCAGATAAGAATATACACCGCTTTTGAGAACAAACATTATTCTGTATGGTATTAGTGACTTAAAAAATTATCAACAACTGTGTTTTCTTTTAATAATTTAGATAGAATTGATTATACAGCAATGACTGAAAAACTGAGAAGGGATTCCCTCAGACATTTTCTCTAGACATTCAAGATCAAACAAGATGTATGCTTTTTTTTTTTAAATAACATTAATCACTAAAAGCTAATAGCAAGACTGAAGTCTTGATATCAAAATATCTTGCCATCACATACGTCAAAGGGCACATTCTTTGAATCATGACAGCACAGTTTAGCTCAAAACTTACAGAAAAACTATATCACACGCTGATAGAAAATAAGAGCAGTTTCTTCAGATGGTTGTATTTAAATATTTACTTGGAACCAGCACTCTATAAATTCCTCATGCTAATTACTCCAAAAGCACAGCACCAATATATTAAATTGGAAATTCTGTACATTTGAGGTTTCAGTTAAAACTATTAATTGTGAGCAGCCTAAGACTGTCAGCTTTCATTGCTTCATATGTATTCACCGTTTAAGTTACAGTTCATAAATCACACCATAATCTTAAATGATTTAAAGTTATTTTGCAAATATAGTTTTTTTTTCCTCCCTATTTAGTAAAATGGGAGTAATAAAAATAAGGAATTTGGCCATTTAGGAAATAAATGTCAAGTCTGACAATAGTTGCAGTGTTCATATCTGAGACAGACTACTTGTAAAATTGGAAGAAAGAATAAAGAGCAGAGGCACAACAATAACAGTACTGGATGGAACTAAAAGAAAATAGCTTTCAGTTGATGTGCAACTGTATGATTATATTCCCACCATCAGTCAAATCCAATCCCTTCTGCAGATGTTTGTACTTTTCTCTCCTGTTTGGTTATTATGGTTCATTATGTTGAGGGACTAAACTGATTGAAAATTTCATTGAGATGACTGCTGCAGTAAAATGCGTAAAAGAAAAAAGAAATGGAATGCAGGGAGGGCAGGAGGAGAGGGAGTTTTTTATCATGGAGTAGCTGGTTGCTGTATCAGAAACAGTGCAAAAGAATGGGTGGGGAAGGCTAAATGCATGGCTTTTTAAGACAACAATAAATCATACGCCATATATAGGCCAAAAATGAAAGAGGCTCTGTGTTCAGATGTAAACTTCTGGCAAGACATGGTTTGTTGTCAGGTTCCCAGACACAAAATAGGCACTCTGTTCATTTAGCATGAAGCCCTGCAAGAAGCAGGGAGCTCCGGAGACTCTTGGCTCTTCTCAGTCTCATTAGGTCTGCATATTAATGACTTGCAGCAATATAAAGGGGCCCTGTAGCAGCCTCCTCTTCCCCCTGGTTCCTGGGTTTCCCATCATTAAGGGAACAGTGACTATAGCAGAAGGAAAATAGAGGATACTAACATGCAGGAGATGCTGCACTGCTATGACAGCACTGAGTTCCTTGCCCTGAAATCTTTAAGACAGGGGTCAGGAAAAAACAAAACACCACCACCAACAAAAAAGATAAATAAAAACAGGAAAACTGGAGAAACTCAGGCAGTATTTTGTATGACATATTGGTAGCAAATCCTGACACATGACAGAGAATAGAAGAAATAAGGGGAAAGAATCACTGTATTGAATCACTGAATCAACACATACCAGACCTTTGGAAGCTGCAGTAGGGAGGAAAGGAAAAGCATTTGTAGCCAAAATGCAGTGTGGGGGCAAGAATGAATTCCAGTACATAGGCTCTGAACAAAAAACTTCCCTTTCAAAGGAAATCTGACAGTAAGAGAGCAAAGACAGCAAGCTATACACGCGGGAATAACACTGCAATACACACAGTTTCTAAATGGTTCAAATCACAGCTGTATTATTATCTCTTAAAGCATTTATTTCCTTTGTACGGATTGAAAGAAATGTATTTAAGAATACTCTGGCCTTATTAGCATGGAGATCACTTATATTATACGGTTCATTAATTTGAATTAAAAAACAGTCCTCTAAAAATGCTAAGGTATTACACATTCAGAACACCCAATGTGTCTCCAGTTTCTCTGAGCAAAAATCCTCAGAGTCTGGCTGTCATTCAGTCAGCTGGTTCATTCTTTCCCCTGGGAACTCCCCTTGCACTTCACGCTGCCATGCCAGCTGAAGTGCCTACTAAACAGAGTTGCCTAGTGCATTGAAATCTACAGTTGAGGGGAAAAAAACCCAAAAAACAAAAAACAACCCATAATAAAATGTACAAGAACTTTGTTTTTACAGGCAGGAAGTTTTGCTACAGCCAGTGACATAGAATAACACACCCCAAACCCCCAAGATCAAAAGAATTAAGTTCTGCCCCTTGAATACACAGTGTTCAAAATTGTCTCCTTGTTTAGATCACCATAATGGCAAGCTGACCTCAACCCAGCCTTCCATGCAATATGCTCACATGATTTTGTGCCACTCATGTTTTACATTCCTACAGGTTACTCTTCCTTCCAGTCTCCCTACTTACAGATCGACTATTTCCACTTTCTTATCAGACTTACCAGAGGATTGACCTCGATTAGTGGCATCATGATCACTGTCTCCTTGCTCACTGTCTCCATGACCACTGTCCTTAGAGCTTACTATGTCTGCTTCCTGGAATGCAGAACTAGACACAGAAACATCTTTACATTAGAATAAACATTAAAGAGGAACTCGTAAAACATTCTTCTGCCATCACATGGCCAAACAAGGTGCTGCAGTCACTCACCCCTGCCTTGTACCACTGCAGAGCAGCACAGCTCTGTCCACCGTGAACAAAACTTCCTTTTCAGACATGGGTAGCCTAGCCCAAGCAGGCATTGCCACTCTGTTTTTCATGTAATTGGTATAAATTGGGCATCACTGATGTAAGCTGGATGGCAAAACTTTGACTTAGAGAGGCCAATGTTATAAGGAAGACTCTATGGAAGGATTCACAAGTATTTAAAGGATGTTTTAGACTAATAAAACATGAGATTTTGTTTTCTTTTCAGATGACTTTGAAACCAATTCAAAAAAGCAGTAATTCATACTCATTTACTTGACAGCGTTTTATTTCATATGTCTACATACATCCATTTTCCCACTGCTTTGCTACTGTTTTACATCTGCAGTGAACACATTTCTGCATCACATTCACACTTGCTAAAGCATGCATTATGAAAACATGACTAAGGAGCTCATACCTGTTTACCCGTCGGGGTCTGTCAACTAGATAACTGAGCTCAGCACGCTGATGTTTCGTCTAGGAGAAAAAAATATATTGAGAAATATTTGAACACTTGGTATTTCTGTAACCAACATCAGAAAACGCACAAGAGCAGCTCTTCATATTCACTGTAAATGGTAATGTTTAGCTGCAAGTAGGCCTACACAATCTATTTCTGGGATGTATGAAGAAATAAAAACAGCCAAATACTCTTCTTCACACACATGGGAAAGTGTGAGGGATTTTTTTCCCCCCAAGTTCTTTGGGATGAGATTCTGACACGTTTTCTCACAGTGCATGCTGTCAAGCATCACAAGGACTCCCACAAAAATCAGCCAAACTATTTCTAGAGTTGTGTATCACTTGCTCTGAGACAAAACTTATTGTAATCTGATTTTCAGCCCATTTTCAATTCCAGTGTATAAAAATAGGGAGAGACAATATCGTTATTGCACACTAAGGAAGAAAATACATCAAGACGGCCTTGACTCCTCAGAACAGCAACAGAAGGAAGAGCTTTACAGACATTTTGAGGGAAAGTCAATGTTAAAAGCCAATACGAGACACTGCACTGCAGAACTTAGTCCAGCTTTAGAAAATATCATGCAAACCGCGTCAGCCAGCCTGGACAGAGTTCAGGTTTCAGTATCCACATTAAGAGAGTTTTGTTTCCCGCAGCACACAAGCAGAGAGCCACCAATAGCATGTAGGAGCTAACACAGAGAAAATGATTAACAGGAGAGCATTATGACAGCCATATGCTGGGACAGAAATTCTCTACACACTGGGCAACACAACATAGACAACGTGTTTAACGAGAGGAAACTGTAAATCTCTGAGTATAATTTCATGGCAAGTCTTTCAAGATGCTTTTCTTTGCAAACAAGGCTTTGAGTTACAAAGCAAGAGAGGAAAGAAGAGTCAATTAATAGGCCCTAATTCACACATTAATTAAAGCTCCTGCTAACTGCAGAGATTTTCACACTCCCAGAAGGGGGTTCCCCCATAGCCTTTCTCGCACATGCTAAGGTTCCAGGGGGGAGTGCTGGGGGAGGAGGCGTGGGAGGAAAGCGCAGTTTTAAGAAACTCAGAAGCGCTTGCAGCCAATGGCTCGGAGAGCCCCAGCGCTGCTCTAAAGGGGCGGGGGCCGGCCCGACCGAGCCGCCCTTCGGTGCGGGGGCTCCCAGCCCTCACCCCTCCCACTCCTGCAGCCGGCAGGTGAATCAGAACGGGGAGGCGGGCGAAGCGCCTTCCCCGCCGGGCAGCGGCTTCGTTGGCCGACGCGGGAGCGCAGCGGCGCGGGGTAGCGGTGCGGCCGGTGCCCGAGGGTCCCCCAAAGGCCACCAAGGGCTTGGCGCGCGGCCCGGCCTTACCTCGCTGGACAGGATGCTGCCGTTGGAGATGATGTCGGGCTGCTGGTCGGCGTAGCCGGTCACGATGGCCCCGCAAGGGTTGTGTTCGGCGTCGGTGCTGCGGGAGGGGCTGCAGGGTTTGAGGAACATCAGGTCGGTCTTGGCGGACTCGGGAGTGAGGCAGACCTGGTAGCAGTAGTTCTGGTTGTGGTGGTGGGAGCCGAAGCTGCCCGACTCCTCCACCGGCACCTGCGCCGGGTTGCTGGGCGCGTTGGAGCTCTGCACCAGCATGATGTCCGACTTGCTGAGTTTCTTCTTGCGGGCCCGCGCTTGGCGGCTGCAGCAGGGGCAGCAGCAGCAGCAGCCCAGGCAGCAGTCGCTGGCCAGGCAGGTGTAGATGTTGAGCTTCTTCTCCTTCTGGCAGCGCACGGCCAGCACGATCATGGCCAGCAGGAAGATGAACGAGACGGAGCCCAGGGCGATGATGAGGATGAGGGTGAGGTCGAGCGAGGTGTCCCCCCCGGAGCGGCTGGGCCGATGCTCTCCGCCACCTCCGCCGCCCCCCGCGCCCACCCCCGCACCCAGCGCTCCTCCGCCGCCGCCGCCGCCAGGCCGCTCGGCCGCGCCGTCCACCAGCACCACCTGAATGGCGGCGGTGGAGGAGAGCGGCGGCTGCCCGTGGTCGCGCACCTCGACCACCAGCTCGTAGGGCCGCTGAGGGTCGCGCTTGGCCGGCACCCTGCGCGCCGTACGCAGCTCGCCCGTTCGCCAGTCCATGCGGAAGAGGCTGGCCTCGTTGCCCCGCACGATGCTGTAGGTGAGGCGGGCGTTGTCGCCGTCGTCGGCGTCCACCGCCGCCACGCGGCTGACCAGGTAGCCCGGCTCGGCGCCGCGCGGCAGCACCTCCCGCGCCGGGGTGCCGTTGCGGCCGGGCAGCGGACTGACGATGGCGGGAGCGTTGTCGTTTTGGTCCACGACGATGATATTGACGGTGGCGTTGCCGGCCAGCGGCTGCGGCTCCTCGCCGGCGTCGCGAGCCTCCACTTGGAAGCTGAACTCCTTGAGCTGCTCGTAGTCGAAGGAGCGGAGCGCGTAGAGGAAGCCGTTCTCGGAGTTGATGGAGACGTAGGTGAAGACGGACATGCCCTGGATCTGGCTCTCAAGGATGGAGTAGGCGAGCTGGGCGTTGGCGCCCTGGTCCCGGTCGGTGGCGCTGACGGCGTAGATGTAGGCGCCGGGCACGTTGTTCTCGCTCACGTACACCTGGTAGACGGGCTGGCTGAAGCGCGGAGCGTTGTCGTTCACGTCGCTCACCCGCACCTGGATGGACTTGCTGGTGCTGAGCGGCGGTTCGCCGCGGTCCCGAGCCACCACCGTCAGCGTGTAGGCGTCGCCTCCCGGCTGCTCGCGGTCCAGCGGCCCCTCGGTGACGATGGTGTAGTAGTTTTTGAACGAGCTCTTGAGGCGGAAGGGTGCGTCGCCCTGCAGCAGCTCGCACTGCACCTGCCCGTTCTCCTCCGAGTCGCGGTCCGAGACGCTGAAGAGGGCCACCACGGTGCCCGGCGCCGCCGCTTCGCTCACCGCCTCCTTCACGGTGGAGAAGCTGATCTCGGGCGCGTTGTCGTTGGCGTCCAGCACCCGCACCAGCACCTTACAGTGCGCCGGTACGGCGTTGGGCCCCAGGTCCTTCGCTTGCACGTACACCTGGTACACGCTGCTCTCCTCGTAGTCCAGCTCGCCGCTTACCTCCAGGCGCCCAGTGCGCGGCGCGATGCCGAAGAGCTCCCGTGCGCGGGCCGATATGTGGCTGCTGAAGGAGTAGATGACCTCGCCGTTCTGCCCCTCGTCGGGGTCGCTGGCGTTGAGCTGCAGCACCAACGTGCCCGGCGGCGAGTTCTCCGGCAGCGACACGGTATAGACGGGCTGCTCGAAGGCGGGGACGTTGTCGTTGGAGTCCAGCACCCTGATGGTGAGCAGGGCGGTACCGGTGCGCTGCTGGGGCTGCCCGCCGTCCACCGCGGTCAGCACGTAGCGGTGCACCGCCTGCTGCTCGCGGTCCAGCGGCTTGTCCAGCACCAGCTCGGCGAAGCGGTTGCCGTCGCCCTGCGTCTGCACGTCGAGTGAGAAGTAGCTGTTGGGAGTGATCTCGTAGGTGCGCAGAGAGTTGGTGCCCACGTCGGGGTCGAAGGCGCTCTCCAGGGGGAAGCGGGTGCCCGGCGTGGCGCTCTCCGAGATCTCTACGGTGAGGTCGGGCTCGGGAAAGGAGGGTGGGTTGTCGTTGATGTCCAGCACCTCGATCTCCACCCGGAACAGCTCAAGGGGGTTCTCCAGGAAGACCTCCAGGTGCAGCAAGCAGGAGGGGCTCTGCTTGCAGATCTGCTCGCGGTCGATCTTCTCGTTCACGTAGAGCACCCCGGTTTCCAGGTTGAGCTCCAGGTAAGGGCTGCGGGAGTTGGACGCCGTCTGGAAGCGGCGAGCCGAAAGTTTTGTAATGTCCAAGCCCAGGTCTTCGGCGATATTCCCCACGAACGTGCCATGCTCCTGTTCTTCCTGCACCGTGTAATGGAGCTGGCCGAGGGCCCCCTCCAGCATCCAGAGCGAGGCAAAGAGGAATAGCACGATCATCTCCAACGGGGAAAGAGATCCCCCCCTCCCCAACGCCACCTCTTCCTCCTTTTCCAAAAGCCTCCACCACCTCCTCCTCCGAAAGCACACAGCACAGTGCGTGCGCCTGTGTGTGGATGTGTGTGCGCGACTCTGTGTGTGTGTGTGTGTGTGTGTGTGTGTGTCCGCGCCTGCGAGCGTGTGGCGAGAGAGGGAGCGGGGAGGGGGAAGGAAGGGGGGCTCCGGCTTAGGGGGGAGTGCGCTAGGTATTATTTCTTCTGAATCATGTCAAGATTTTTTTCACCCCCATCTCCCTCCTATTTGTTACGAGTATTATTGTTTCACACGCTGACCAAATGAAGAAGAAAGGCGTCCCCACTTCATCTGTGATCTTCGAAATCAATGGCCAACTAATAATAGCTATTAGCTGCCCGCATCTACAGACACACAGTAGCCCGCTTTTATTTATTCCGAGAGTCTTGGCACTGCACCGCGGCAGCAACAGCGGCAGCAGCAGCAAATCCCAGGGAAGAAATTTTTGTATTTCAGGATTGTCCTCGGTTTGTCTTCCTGGTGGGAGCCGGAGGGGGAGAAGCTGCTGGCGGAGCCGGTGGACATGCCCTCTTCGGAGGCGAGAAAAAGGCAGAAAATCACGAAATTAAAAAAAAAAAAAAAAAAAAAAAAAAAAAAAAATTATAACCCGCAAAAACGTTTGATATCAAAAACGGCAGAGAGCAGCTTCTCTACCCAAACTTTCATTCCCTGATTTCTCTGGGATTTCCTCTTTTTATTTCAAGATCTTAGATTTTTCTCTCTTCTGTCAACAGTCTTTCATTTTCTTCTTTTATTGCTATTATTACGTTCATCATCATCACTCTGCGTTTTATGGACGTGCCGATCAGTTTTGCTTTTTTTTTTTTTTTTCCTCCTCTCTTGCTGCTTTTGCGCCTAACCCCCTCTCTTTGCTTGCTGCTGCTGCTGCTGCTGCTGCTGCTGCTGCTGCTGCTGCCGCCGCCGCCGCCGCCGCCGCTCTCCTCCCGTCCCGGCTCCAGCCCGGCTCCGCTCCTCTGATCTCTGCCGGCAGTTTCTGAGCCCAGAGCGCTCGGCTTTGCTGTTTTTGCGCAGCGCTCGGCTCCTGCCAACCAATCGGCTGGTAGCAACGCCCCCGGGGGCGGCACCCTATTGGCCGCGCTGCACGTCAGGTTGGCTGCATCAGAGGCAGGCGGGCAGGCAGGCGAAGCAGCGCAGGCAAAGCGGGCAGCGTAGGCAGGCAGGCAGGCAGTGGAGACAGGGCGGGCAGCGCGGGCGGACGGACGAGCAGGCAAGCAGGCAGCTATCTATCTATCCATCCATCCATCTATCTAACTAGGCAGCTATTCCCCTGGCGCAGTAAGGGAAATCACTGCTCGTCATCAGCGCGCACACACGGCTAATGGTAAACAGCCATCTCCTTAGAGAGGGAGTTTCCACCAGCCACCAACTTTCCTTTCCCAGACCGAGCGCGGCAGCGTTGTTAGAAAAACCGTAAACAAAGGGAAACTTGAGAAAATTCCTCCCTCCTCCCCTCCCCTTGGGCTGCCTTAGTTAATTAGTTTGTGTGACAGTGGAAAAAGCGCGACTTTCCTTCCATCCGCGCTGTGTTTCCAGCTCCGTCCAACCCCTGGTGCCACGGCTCCGTGCCTTTTTCCCCCGCTTTATCTTTGGAATTTCCCCTCGCGGAACAGAAACGGGTGCGGGTGGGATGGAAAGGAGCCCCGTGCCTCACAGGGAAAGGGCAGCGCCTCGCTCTGCGTGTGCGCGGTAGGGCAGCGAGAAGCGGCGAACCGAGAGCTGCGATGTGCTCGTTTCCCAGCGAGGGGCTCCATCCCAGGCAGCGCTGTCCTCGGCGTTCCCCGGTGCCGCTGCGTGGATTCCGCCGAGGGCTCGGGACGGGAACGCTCCGGTTCTGTGCTCCAAGGCTCACAGCCCTCCTCCTGGCACCCAGACAGCGCCAAATAAACTCACTCCTTCCACCGGAGGCTGCCCGGGTTCGGGCAGAGGGCAGGAGGCAGAGCGGGGCGGTGCTGGCGGCCCTGACGGGTTCCGTTACGGTCCGGACCGTGCGTTTTGTACAGCTCAAGTTACCTGTTGTAACGTTACAAAATAACAAAAGAGAACAGAAGATTAAATATAACTTCCCCCCCTCTCCCCCCCAAAAAATGTTATTTTATTGTTTCTAAAGGACATCACGCAGCAGGTGGGAACGGCTTCTGCACCGCAGAGCGGTGACCCCGACCCAGCCGGGCAGCGAGCGCTCTCCGCGCACACTCTGCTGTTCTCCGCACTTTCCGTTGCGGTCGCGCAGCAACGCGTCGCTCCCCGCACAGCAGACGCATCCCCGCCGCCCTGGGGAGCGATGGGGCCGCGTGGAGGCGAGCCGCGGTCAGAGCAGCCGCCGGCAGCTGCGCGACCCCGGCGTCACGCCCGGCGCGAGGACGCGGCGGTTGGCAGCGGGACGCGCGGGGCGATGACAGCCGCTCACGGCCTCCGGGTTCCCGCGGGGCTCAGCGCGTTGGGGGCGGAGGGCTCCGCGTCCTGCGCGACGGCCGTTGGCGGAGCCCTCCCAGCGGCCAGCGGCCGCCCCCGCGCCGCCGCCGGCCCGGCCGCAATCGCGGGCGTCGGGCGCCCCCCAGCGGCGGCAGCGCCGCACTGCGCCTCCCAGCCCCGCCCGCCGGCCCCGCGGGGGGAAGCGGAGGGCTCGGCCTCTCGCTCCCCGCGGCGCTTCGCCCCGTCCCCTCCCTGCCCGCTGCGGGCGGGGGATGCACGTCGCTCTACCGACAGTCAGGCGCGGCCCCGCGCCGGCCGCTACTCCAGGCCCGCGGTGATGAAGGGGCCGCGTGAAGCGGGTGCGGAAAGGCAGCGGCCGGGAGCGGGGAACCGTCGGTGCGGTGCGCCCCCGAGCGCCGCGCTGCCCCCGCAGCCCCGGCCAGCGTTTGCCGTACATTGGTTTTCCTCGGGAAAAGCCGGCGACTGCGGGCGGGCGGTGCGGGGCCGCCGCTCAGCAGCCGCAGACGGGGGAGCGGCTCGGAGCCCCCGGCACCCTGCGGCCGGGCGTCACCTACGCGTGGGGCGGGGGCGGCGGGACTCGACCGGCAGCGGCCGTCGAGGAAATCGGGACCGAGGAGCGGCGGGGCGGCCGAGGTGAGGGCGGCCGGCAGGGCACGATGCTCGGGGCAGAACCCGCACGGGAACGCGGATAGATGCATATCTATGCCTCTATGCGCGGTGCGAGCCGTCCCGGTCCCGCCGCCCTCAGTGGGCGCTGCCGCGGGGCTCCGGGCGGGGCCGCGGCTCGGCGCTCAGACCCCCGCCCGCTCCCCGGGCGCCTCCATTTTGTGGGTGCGCTCCGCTGGTGGCTCGTCGGGCTGCGCCGTGTTAAACCCCGAGCGGTGAATTAAAAGCGCCGTTGATCTGAGGCAGCCCTCTAATGCGGAATGACAAATTGCATTTGGGCGATAACATGAACGAGAAAATGATTTATGGATTTTCGCGACGGTCTGAGCAAATGAAGGCGACGTGAATTATACATCCTAATGTGCAGTATATCATTTTCTAATAACACTGCTTTAGTTCTAATGCTCTACGCCGCTCTCTTCGATAGGGGGTATTGATTAAATGAAAATTCAGAGGGCTATCTTTAAACTGGGTGCGTATCTGCTGCAGGCACCGGCCGAGGTTTGTGTGTTTACCCATCGCTAACACAGACGGCTGCCACCGGACCTCTGGCACCGCGGCTTTCAGCTTTTCTATCTGTCATCGCTTAATTTGGCAGTTACTTTACCAAATGAAGAGAGATCTCTCGTATCGCCACGCTTCACCCCATGCTGCGGTCCAGAGATGTAAATAGATGGCATCAGGTTTGTATACCTGTGGTGCAGGCAGGGATAGTAGCACCTTGGGAAGCCCTGCTCTCTGCCAGCATCCTCAGGTGCCTCCTTGGCACTCCAACTGCTGTGGCTGCCAGGGGGGGCATTTTTCTCGTGAGGAGAACATAAAATAAATAATGCTCTTGCTCAACCAGGACTTTGCTAGCATCTCCTTGCACTGAATTTCTTAAAGAGAAGAAACTTCTCGTTTAACTCATGCACACTGGGAGTAAAGCAGCATGAAAAGATGAGTGCATGTGTACAAGGGGTGAGAATAGCTGTCACTCACGGGGTGGCTGAGCCCCAGATTCAGCTTCATTACAGTGCCCCAAGCCCAAGGCTTCCAGCCTCGTAGCCGCATTCTCTTGCCCTTCAACACAGGGCAGTGATTGATGAAGTCATAGCGACACGAGCAATGAATATTCCCAATTATTTCAGTGGTCCCTAGGCTAAAATCTCGACACTAAGGACAAGCAAGACCTGCACTTGTTTGAATTGGTTTAAAACAGAGTTGGGGAAGATGAGGTAGAGGATTTTTGTGCTCATTTGGGGGTTAACCGATTATTTTTCATTACCCAATTGCAGTATTTCAGTTGTTTTAAAACAGAAAGAGTCACATAGGTCAGAAATACCCAAGTGCTGTATTTTGGATTCAGCAAATGCTTTCCTAACATGGTTTGGGGAGTAGAATGCTGCTCCCAACTGTTTATTTCAGTTACCAAAACGAATTTCAGGTATTGGCCTTTGTCTGAGAAACATTGTGGCCTCTTTACTGTCTGTGTGTTAAAAACACTGAGAATAGTGGATTTTCCCCCCTCTTCTCTCTTCTACCCCTAATCTTAGATTGCTGTTGCTTGGTGGAATTTGAATTATCTGGGTTTTAAAAAATATATACAAACCCCACCCAGGACCCCTTTGAGAGAATTAATAACAGCTCTTAGTGCCAGAAAGATTACTGGAATCAATGATGTGATTAGGACTGTAAATAAGATCTAAAAGATGTCACCATTTGAAAAAGCCTGCTCTGCTAACTGGAAGATGTGTATGTGTTACTGAAAGGGCCATAGGATGAAAATCCTGCTTCAAACAGAGGTCGATACTGCACAATTTCAGAAATTAACTAAGAGGCCTGATTAAGGTTATTTGTGTCAGAGGGAAAGGTTCACTGCCACCACTCCCTCAATGGATTTCTTTCTTAATTGCCAATGAG